GGGCAGGGCCTGGGTCCCCTGTTCGGAAAGCACACTATATCTTATTTAACAATCCCCGTCGCCGTAATTGACGCGCGTCCTTGTCCCTCGGTAAAGGACCTGCAGATGTTCTGATTATGTAGTTATGCTGCTAATGTGAAAAACGGCCTCATTATGAGGGTCTGTTTGGAGCTAGAAAATGACTGCATTATGACAAATGCATGATTGGGAACTTACAGGAAGATGATCATTATTGCAATGAAACGGGAACTCGTTTAATAGCAGCAACCAGCAGCTGGGATGCAGCAAATGAATGCCTTCCTGTTTTTATTGTTGTAGTCAGGGTTCCAGGCAGAAGGAAAACTCCTGCGAAGCCGAAAACTCCTCGTAGCTCCCGCTGGCTGGTTGGAGCCAAGGCAGGCGGCGCTGGGAACACTGGTTCTCTACCTGCCAGCATCCCTACCCCCCCCCCCCCCCCTTGCCCGGGGAATGGCGCTGTTTAAAGACACAACTGTGGCTGTGGCAGCAATTACTCAGGAGCACTTAGTGGGTGGCACGGCTCGCCGCTGGGCTGCGCTCCAGGTCCCCAGGCAGGCCTGGTCGGGAGGTTGCCGTCACAACTCAGCTTTGCAACCATGATCCCTCCTTCCTGCTGGAGTCCAGGCCCCACTGTGGGCAGATCACCCGCTGGCCTGGGTTCGGGCGGAGACCCGGCATCCTGGGCGGGCAGCCCACTGATGCTACAGCAGCAGCAGCAGCAGCAGCAGGGCCCCTGGGGGGCGGGTTTCCCACACGGAGCCCCAGCGTGTAGTAGCTGCTTCATGAACGTCGGTGAGTAGGCTGGATTGAAGACTGTTCGTTCGGCCATTTCCCTTCCAGGAGAGTTGCTCCTTATGGAAAACACTCGCTGGCCCCAAACATACGTGTTTTCCAATCGGAAGTGTTGTTTCCATGTTATCCACCCGGAGGCCCCCAGCATGCCCCTTGCTTAATTGAATCAGATTTCTCTGTTCTTGGAACTGGACATTCGAGTCTGATAAAATCATTATCTACATTTTGGAGTGTTCGAAACGAACTCAGATGGCAGGGCCGGGCATCAAAACAAAAACGGAAGCTATGGATGTCACCAGGAACGGTGTTGCTCGGACTGGGGGCCGGGCGGACGGGGGGCCGGGCCGTTGGTAGGTTTCTCAGGGCAGCGGGCATACCGGCTGCAGCTGCACTCAGAGCCTGGAGGTCCCAAGGTGAACTGACATCACAGACTGTTCACATTTTATCCGCTGCGGTAGGATTAATCCCCAGCACACGGGCATGACTTAAATATTTAGGGTGCTGCTTCTGTTACGACGTTAATGCATGCAAAGGAACGGGATTTCCTCCAATACAGTCAGATGTCTTTAAGTACAAACCTCCCGAGCGGGAGGCGGTCTCGGCGCGGGAATCAGTGGGTCTCTGTGGCCGTGTCAGGCTGCATTTGTGTGACCGGCCCTGGAGGCTGGCCTGCCTGTGATAGCCGGATATCTGGCCTCGCAGGCTGCCTGAGAGCCGGCCCCATTTGGCAGCGAATGTGATTCCCGGCTATTCTGGCTTCTGATTCATTCAGGTTTTATTGCTGTGTAATTTTCTTATTCTAAAATAAAAGCTCTCCAACAAAAATTACTATGCATTAGGCCGCGGTAGCCTACTCAAATGGATATTAATACAGTTTATCTCTGAAAGGACGAATAATGTATCTGAAACACAGATAAAAGGCTCTCCACTAAATGAGGAATGTTAATATCTTATGGCACGGTTAATAAAGAGATATTTCACAGGGGAGATTTGTTTTATGACTTTTGATACAACAGCCTTATAATCTGACACATCTTAAATGATATAATTTGGTGCCACATTCATCTTTTATACGCAGCAGTCCCTCATAGCAAGACTTGAATTCAGAACAAATCATGGGCACTAATTACTTAGGGGGGAGTTTATTAGGAAGCTCATTGGCTCAGATGCGCGTATGTGGACACCCATGCCGAAAAGCTGGAAGCTTATCGTACATTTTGAGAAATGTCTTCTTGTTGTTTTTTTTATTTCTCCAGCAGAAAATGACATTTGTGTTTGTTGTGTTTAAGGCAGAGTTTAAATTAATTTAACCAGCGACACATGTTCAGGACGAAGCACGCTGCTAAATAATTCCTTGGAATAAATTGCTCAGGACCCAAGTACATTAATTTACGGCTCTCCTGATGCTGACAGATGTGAGGGCGGGAGGAGGACCTCCTAATATTAACATAAAACAAATTTGCTTTATTCTTCTTCATATTTCTTCCTCCTCCCCGCCTTGAGCTCACCCACGGCTCCTTCTCTAATTATCCACGAGGTCAGTAAGCAGAATTGGGAAGAAGCGGGGAGATCAATACAAATTATCCCTGAGCAAACCAGTGCTGACAGTCTGAATTGCAGCATATGTTTACCCAAAATCAGGCAATTTATCTTAATATCAGCAAAGTAATGCAGTGCAGGTGAAAGGTCAGGCAATCTCTCCCCCTCATAATTACCCAGTTCTAAAACAGGAAAGTGGTATTGATTGGCCTGGCTCGGGGCTCGGCGACTGGACGTGCCAGAGCCTTGCCCTGCCCGGCTGGGCCTCGCCTTGTAAACGCCACAGGCCGAGGATTTATGAGATGTGTGCGAAGGGTCTTCGGCTTTCTCCTCCCGTTGGAGAATTTGCCGGAGAGATCTCGGCGGCGCCCCCGGGGTGCGGGGCGGTGGGTTCTGTGCGGTCCTCGGAAGGTGGTCAGTGGGCTGTGCTGATCTTGGGGCGGCTTGGACCCCCCCCCCCTCCACTCAGTGATCCAGCACCCCCCGGAGCCAGGATGTGTGTCACTTCTGCAGTTCCAAGACAAGGGCAATTTTTTCTAATCCTTCCATGTAAAGTCCTGGGGCTTCCCGCAGCCAAGCTGCTCACACAGCCTCCCCGCCCCCACCCGGTGTGGCAGAGGCCGCGGGGGTTCAATGACGTCATCTTCCCAGCAGCCCGCCCCGGTGCCCTGCTCCCTCTGGGCAGTGCCTGTGAGATGTCAATGCTCTCTGGGCTGAAGCAAGGGGTGCCAGGGGCCCTCCCGTTTATCCTGCTTTGAAATGTTGGTGCGAGGAGAACAGTGTCCCTTGAACTGAAACACTGGGCAGTGTCCTCCCGGAATGAGAGTGTGTGGTTATTCCAAGTCATAAGGCTTCTGAAAGCTCGCATTAAAGCGTCTATCACCTGTCAGCGCATTTGCATGAAATCAATAGCGGCCGCCCATCTATCTTTTCTGATCACCTTTCATCAGGCCGATTCATTAAGTCAAACAGTCATGGTGATTAGCGGGGGGAGAGAAGCAGCCCTGACACGAGGGAAACGCACAGTGGGCCTCCTTTTTTGTTCCCTAATCAAGAAACGTAATACTTTATCTCCTCCTGTCTGGGCCAGTCGCGGGGTGAGGCCCATCCACCCGGCGGCCCGAGCCACACTCCCGCCCGACGCCCGCGTCCCGGCCCGGCAGAGACATGACAAATTGTCCCCCAAGTCACTGCTGACAGCTTCTGATGATTAATGGTTTGATTATGAAGTGGTTTTGCACGTATAGAATTTACATCACAGAGAGTTAGAAATTCCGCCGTGTCACCCGTGCCCGGGCACTGGGAAGAGCTGTGCGATTTGCAAAGGGAAAAAGAGGGCGAAATCGCAGCAAAAGCCATGTCATGTAAAATCAATATGTCGGATCAATGCTTTATTAACAAGAAAATGTCTTACTTCACATTCCTGTGCGGACCTTTGTCTCCGGGATGGGTGATGGAATGTCAAACCGTATCGCGGCCTCAGCGTGCGGGCCGCTTATTGAGTGCCCGCCGCGGCTTCCGGTGCCGCTGGCCAGGCCCGCCGTGGGCGTCCGCCGCCAGCCCGAGCGCCAGAGGGCAAGGGTGGCCAGTTCTTTCGGGGAGCCCTTTTCAGAGGCGGCCTCTCCCCTTCTTCCTCCAGCGCGTAGCTGGCAGACCCGCCGCGTGGGGTGGTGGCAATCGTCAGATTACGTTCTGACTAGCGAGCGACGGCCCAAACGGCGGGCCGCGTGACGCGTCGGTGGCGGCCGGTCTTATTAGTCTCGGAAAACTCGGTGATTTATGTCGCGCCACGCACCCCTGGCGTGACTCCATGGAAAACGCTATCTACATCGGGAAGTAATGTACTCTAATAAGTATTTCCATCTTCACCGCGTCCCCGGGCCCGCGGGCTCCGAGCCGGTTGGAGTCAGGCAGAGCCATAACAAAGCCCAATGACTCCTTATAAAGCTTGTTAAACACAGAGCGAGCCGTCGGACGGGGTCCTGGCCGTGATTCATGCACTGTACGCGGCGCGCGGGCCGCTGATTTATGGCCCCGCACAGTTCATAGTCAAAATTACAATTTGAGGGATAAAAAGATTAATTACTATTTGTGGCCGGCAATTTTCGGGAGGCTGGTGGAACGATGGTGCTCTACATCAGCTGGTCGTCAGCCGTTCGCAGATTATTAAAGCTTTGCAAGAGTAAGTGGTCCCCCTGCCTGGTTTGTGCTCTGGCAATATGCTAGACAGAAAAGGACCACAGGGATAAATCTGAAGCCAGCAATAGCCGGACATATGTCATAATTGCCAGCTCCCCATAAATCCCTGGCCGGGGTAGAAGCACCGCACGCCGCAGACAGTGATCCTGACGGTGCTGATGGCTGTCCCGGCCCCGAGACCTGCAACTTCCTGACGGCCCCGCCATTTCTACAATATATGGAGTCACCCTTTGCCTTTTCTCCAGTCTAATTATAGATTAGAAATAATCATTGCTTTGACGTGCAAAGGAAAGGGGGGAAGCCCACTCCTTGAGAGAGAAGGAGCATTCGGGGGTGCTCGCCTCCCAGAGCATCAGAAAGGGAGACCCGCACAGCCGTGCGTGCGCGTGCAATACACGAGGAACGGATGACGTGAAAGCCACTAACCCGACTGCCTCTCTGTCCTGTTACAGCCCTTAACGAGCCGACCATAGATTACGGTTTTCAGCGGTTGCAGAAGGTGATCCCGAGACATCCGGGCGATCCCGAAAGGTTACCCAAGGTGAGTAGAAGGTCAGGGGGCGCCGCCGGGCTGGTTCGGATTTGGGGGCAGCAGGTGCTCCGGGATGGGGGCTGCTGGACGCCCCAAGCCCTGCGGCCACGACCAGGCCCACAGGCGCCAGGCCCGGCTGAGAGGCCGGCGGAGGGTGCGGGCAGCTTGATGTCTCCTGGGCGCAGGGCCGAGATCTTGAGGGAGGAAGGGAAGGGCTTCTCTGGTACCAATATTTTGGATTCTGCGAGGGGGACATAAACTTGCGCGTAATGAAATAGTTCAATTAAACATTTTCCGCTCCAGTGGCCG